AATTATTAAAAATAAATAAATAAATAATCTATGTTGTATACAAATTAATATTATCATAAAAGAAATGGAAAGAGTAATAACCTACTACGAAACCTATACTTTGGGAGTTTGGTTGGCAAACAAGAAAAAGCTAACCTCTCCTTCCATCTCTTGGTCTTCCTTCTCTCTTTTCTACTCCAGCATCTGAAGCATAACAGCTTTTTCTTCAGAATTATCGATCTCTTACCTTAACACACTTATTTCTCCCATTAATCAAGAGGTAACATTTCTAGGAATTCGTACGTAAATATTTTTGTGTACTTTTTTATATTTTTGCATTCTTAACTAGCTACTTAGTTTTTTTTTTTAGATGTGTATTTTTAATCTCACACATTATTTAAATTTAAGATTAGAAAAAAAACATATTTTTTGAAATGATTGTTTTTTTTATGGAATTTTGTACATGATTGTTGGTTGGCCAAAAAAAAAAAACATGATTGTTGCTTTTAGTTTTGATAGAATTAAGCGATTTAATTGATTTTCTCTTCTTCTTGAGATTAATGTTTATTGATTCCAACTTCAAAATTTTTAGGAGTGTTTACAAGTGTCCTACAAAGGAAATGGACAGCTAACAAAGCTGTGTATGTGACAGAGATCTATCATTACTCATTATGGCAGAACAAGGTAACAGAGAACATGTTTCACTAGATGTCAATTTAATATCGAGGTACAAAACAATGGTTTTAGGTGACCCTTTCATCTCTACAAATACTTGCATCTTCAGAGTTCCAGACAGGATCAAGATGCAAAATGCACGGGCTTATGAGCCCTATGCCTTTTCACTTGGTCCCTGGCATTTTGGCAAGCAACATCTCATGGATGCACAAAAGTTCAAAATCTACTTTCTTCAAGGACTTGTTCGTCGTTTCCCAAACCCAGATTCAAAAGTTGAAGAGCTAGAACAAGTTATCAAGGATGTTCAGAGCCGCGCTTCTGAATGTTATGGGGATTGGGCTGCCATCAATGTCACCAAAGAAGAATTTGAGAAAATTCTGATGCTGGATGGCTGCTTTATCATCGAGTTGCTTCGGAAGTTAGCTGCTGGGGTACCTATACAGGAAAAAGATTCGACATTCTTCTCTTCAAATGCCATTTATCCAGTTCTTTTTCATGACTTGTTTTTGCTAGAAAACCAAATGCCTTGGTTTGTGCTTGAACTCTTGTATGACCGGACCAGTGGCAATGGAAGCAAGCCTTTGGCTGAAATTGCTACGGAATTCTTCATCAGGTCTGCATTTTCACATGACATATTACAGACAGAGCCTGAGATACTATCCAGCATTGAGATCAAACATATCCTTGATCTAGCAAGGCATTACTTGGGTTT